ATCAGTACTTGAGCAGTATGTAGTAGGCTATTTTGAAAACAGCCATGGAGAACAGTTAGATTCCATTGGTTTGAAGTAAATATGTTCCTAAGTGTAAAATAAAAGCCTGTTAGCTTAAAAATTGTCACTACCAAACCAAATTTTCTGAAATTAACATAAATAAAATAGTGTTTTAATAAAAAAATATTATGAATTTATGTGTGTACAAAGGGCGGCACGGTGGCGCAGTGGGTAGCGCTGTCGCCTCACAGCAAGAATGGCCTGGGGTCGATTCCTGGACGGGTGACCAGGGTCATTTCTGTGTGGAGTTTGCCTGTTCTCCCCGTGTCTGCGTGGGTTTCCTCCGGGTACTCCGGTTTCCTCCCACAGTCCAAAGACATGCAGTTAGACCCTAGGTGTGTGTGTGTGTGTGTGTGATTGTGTATGTCTGTCTGTCTGTCTGTCTGCCCTGCGATGGACTGGCGACCTGTCCAGGGTGTATCCTGCCTTCTGCCCAATGACAGCAGGGATAGGCTCCAGCACCCCACCGCGACCCAGAAGGATAAGCGGTTTAGATGATGTATGTATGTGTGTAAAACTGTTCAAAGCTGTGTTTGCTAGTCATGCACTGGCTAGCATTTTTGAGTTATGCTCAAAGTGATCTAAAATCTTCTGAAACAATTACTACTGAAACATTTCGTGAAGTTTCAGAAGTGTTATAGTTGTTTTGTTAGTGTCAACATGGAATGTTCAATCATTTGTTTTAATGAAATAAACAGAATTAAAGTGTAGGGTCATTCAACGTAAAAGGGTCCTAATTTTACTCCAAGTGAGTTAAAAGTATTTATAACTCTAAGTTTGAGCCATTTCAAAATATTCCCAAAAGAAAACTCAGATTAACCACGATTTTCTCATTATCATATATTTTCCCAATTATTATTTTACTATTACATATACAATCTCAGAAGACAAGTGTAGGTTCACTTTTTCAGCCAGCTGTGTTGGCTAAATATTAGCATATGCCCTTTATGGCTCTTTACCTTCATCTCACACAGGTATACAGCTAAAAAAAGAACCGACGCATACACACAGCCACCAGGTAGGTCACTAGTGGCGGATATGATATGAAATTCAGAAATTTATGGTAAACATACTCAAGCCTTCCACTTACCCCCCCACACACACACACCCTGCTGCTGAACTAAATGAGGACAGGCGCTCAGTGCTATTACCTCACTAAATAAAGGTCAGAAAGGTTACAAGCACATTATGTCCCCACAAATAAAGCAAAACGAGAGTAAACACACACTCACTCACACTGAGAATTATAAAGAGAGTCACTGAGAGAACACAGAGCTGTAGGTCAACTGGACAAAGCTTTAGAATGAGAGGGGGGATAAAGAGAGAGGGGGTGAGAGAGAGAGAGAGAGAGAGAGAGAGAGAGAGAGAGAGAGAGAGAGAGAGAGAGAGAGAGAGAGAAAGGGAAGAGAGACAGAAAGAGAAGGTGAGAGCAATGGAGAGAGAAAGAGGAGGAAAGCAAGAGAGAGAGAGGGGAAAGGAAGACAGAGAGAGAGGGTAGAAGGTAAGTGAGACAGAAAACAAGGGAGAATGAGAGAGAGATGAAGAGAGGAAGACAGTAGGAAAGAAAGAGAAGGTGAGAGAAAGAGAAAGAGAGAACGAGGGCCAGAGAGAAAAACAGACAGATGGAGAGACAGAAAGGGAAAGTGAGATAGAAAAATCATTAGAGAGAGAAAGTAAGAGAAAAAAAGAGATGGAAACGAGAGAGACAGGGAGAGAGACAGAACGAGAAGCGAGAGTGATAGAAAGTTGACTGAGACAGAGGGAGAGAAAAGGGGATAGAAACAGGAGAAAGAGAAGCGAGAGAAAGTGTGTAAGAGAGTGGGGTGAGAGAGAGGGGAAGGAGAGAGAGAGAGAGAGAGAGAGAAAGAGAGAGATAGTATACATGTATGTCTGAGGAACTGTTAATAATATGTGTGTGTGTGTGTGTGTGTGTGTGTGTGTGTGTGCATGTATTTGTTACTAATTTTAGTCTCAGTCTGCTGCTCTGTAATTACACTCACACTCATGCATCATTACAGCAGGGAGGTCAGATGAGCGTGCACTTCTCTGGTCAGCAAAAGCCTTTAGCCTTCCTCCAGCTGTTCTGCTGCTCTGAATGTGTCTGTATTTCAGTCTCACACACATCCCTCAGATCAAGGCTAAAGGCCCCCACCTTCTGTAGCTCAGATTAGCACATCTGAGGCACATCCAACAGTGCCCCCTCTGCCTGAAACATGCATTACACCACCACAGTGGCTGAGTGGGAGAAATTTCAAGCTCCTTTCAAACCCAAAAAGACCACTCAGTTAACTTCTTTACATACTGTTTACATTGTAAATGGTGACCACTGAGAATCATTTTAATCTGAGAAATGCTCTAACATTTCTTTGTCAGCTGTTTATCCAACAGCGCTGTACATTTGTAAGTATTTTCTTCATTAAGCAAACTGCCACAGTCCTTCAAACGCAAAGAAAAGTGTTTTAGCCACTATGAGTTAATTCAGTACCACAGCTGGCAGTTTAATGTTGAATCAGAGGCAGTTGTTGTCTTTTAATTCATTTGAGTCAATTATTTTCTGCCCAGTGGATGACATAGAAACATGCTGACTTCTCAAGATAACGTTGAAAACAGAGAAATATCTTTTCTAACTTAGCTATCATGCTAAGCCTAACTGCACTAAGTTACTTCAGTCTTCTCAATCATGTCTGTAATGCTGGAAGTTTTATAGTAATGTTAGCAAAGTAAAATAACATACAGTAGTAGGACTCTACATTGAGTGAGAAGGCACTGAACTGACTTGTACACTATATGGTCAAAAGTATATAACCCTAATTAATGAGTTCACGTGTTTCAGTCACGATTTTTAACAGGTGTATAAAATCAAGCACACAGCCATGCAATCTCCATAGACAAACATTGGCAGTAGAATGAGTCATACTGCAGAGCTCAGTGACTTTAATTGAGGCAGTCATAGGACGCCACATTCACCGCAAGTCACCTTGGTCACCTGTAAGTGCTATTATTGTGAAAAGGAAGCATCTGGGAGCAACAACAGCTCAGCAATAAAGTGGTTCACCACGCAAACTCACAAAGCAGCCAAGTGCTGAAGTGTGTAGTTAATGAAAATATCCTATCTTCCGTTGTATCACTCACTACAGAGTTCCAAGCCTCTGGAAGGAACATCAGCACAAGAAGTGTTTCTGAAGCTTCATGAAATGGATTTCCATGGAGCAGCTGCATACAAGTCTAAGATCACTATGCTCAATGCCAAGTGCTGGCTGGACTGTTGGAAAGCACACCACCACTAAACTCTGGAGTGCTCTCTGAAGTGATGAATCATGCTTGACTATCAGGCATTCAAATGGACAACTCTGGGTTTGGCAGATGCCAGGAGTAGGCTTCCTACCCAGAATGCATTGTGCTGACAATTAAGTTTGGTTGAGGAGGGATAATGGTCTTGGGCTGTTTCTCAGGGTTTGGACCCTTTAGTTCCAGTCAAGGGTGATGTTAATGCTATAGCATACAAAGACATTTTAGATAATTATATGGGTTTCAACTTTGTAGGAACAGTTTGGGGAGGACCCTATCCAGCATGACTGTTCCCCAGTGCACAGAGCGAGGTCCATAAAGACATGGATGGAGTTTGGTGTGGAGGAAAGTAACAATTTTGGAGATACGATGTTTCTGACAACAGCGATATGGACAGAAAAAGCCACTAGGGGAAACACACTCACACTCACACACACACATGCACACAAATTTAAAAGGAGAAGGACTTACAAGTTTCAATTTATTCTACTGAGCCTTCAAAAAGCACTCCACTGTGCTTAAGACTTTGATGGAGAAAATAAAAAAACATGCAAGTTCCCTTTAAAGTGCGGGCACTTCTCCTTGTTGGCCCCTTTCACATTATTTTTTATTTTATGGATTAGAGCGGCGCAGAAATACATAGCCACTTATCTGCTGCTGCAAAGACGTCTGGCTGCATGATAAAAGGAGAGCGTGTGTGGGAATAAGATGTTGCGCTTGTGGTGTAATACACTAAGATGCTCTGTTTAAAGTGGGTAGAAATGTTTAAGACTGTACTGTCTGTGAGGTTTATTTTTTTTTTTTTTATAGTTTGGTGGGAGGTAGCCTTCAAAGACATTATCTGTTTAACTCCTTAGGGCCCAGATACAGCAAGCCAACGAGGAAGAACTAGTGGCTGATAGCTAGTAGCCAAGTGGTCGGAGAGGTGATTTTTGGCCAGCTTTCACTGGGTAGTGTTGGTTTTGTACTTATTTCCCCACAGTGCCAGGCAGCTGTGCAGAAATTTTAAGATTAAAGAAACAGTTTGACAAAAATCGAACCAATTTCTCCATTTACCCCAAATGTAGTTGATCAATCAAGACATGTTTGGTATCTGAGGTTTGCTTCTGAAATTTTACACTGGAGCAACAAGGCTAATGCTAACAACTAATGGAAATTTATTTACACTAGTTAGTATGACACTCAAACAGATTTGCTTATGTGGCTTCTGTAAAAATAGACAATACTGTCAAAATTCAGGCTTCTACCTGAACTACTGTTTTTATATTACCACATATATTTGTCTATATTCAAATGTGTATGTAGTGTGTCATACTGTGTGAGAAACCACATAAGCAAGACCATTTGAGACCTTCACATGGTCTGAAAGAAGCATGTGATGATTTAGATGTGCAGTTTGTACAATGCAAACGCTTCTATTACTTCTTAGCTACGTTAGCCTCATAGCTCCAGTGCAAAACTAAAGAAGCAAACTTTAAGAAGCCTTGACTGAACAACTTCATTTTGGGGTATAAAAGGGGAAAATCATGTATGTTTGATTTTTTGTTACACCATTGCTTTAATACTTGAATAATAAGCCAATACTTGAATAATAAGCCAAGAGTTTCAAGGGTTACATAGACATAACATGTAACAACAACATGCAAACATACCTGTATGAAAGGGAAGAGGAGGCCCACAGCGAAGTTTGAGAGCCAGTTGACCACTCCAGCAACCATAAATGCGGCCGGACGGTAAGACTGTTCAAATAACTCACCAGTCAGTACAAAGGGAATCCCACCTGAAAGAGAGAGAGAGAGAGAGAAAGAGAGAGAGAAAGAGAGAGAGACAGAGAGAGAGAGAGAGAGAGAGAGAGAGAGAGAGAGAGAGAGAGAGAGAGATTCAATAAGCCATCAGAATACCAGGATCAAAACTACAGTGTCTAAAATTATAGTATTGTTTATAAAACACAAGCATCAAATTAACCTTATGTCATTATTCATGATTAATACAGGGTGACCGTACATCCTCTTTTTCTAGGAAACAACCTAAAAATGAACCCATCCATTGCTAAATTATCTAATGTCTGAGATTTGGCTTTGCTCTTATGTTGATATTTGCTTTGTACAGTCTGCCTCAGGTTGCCCTCCTGCCCCCAGGAGATTCTATTTACTAAATGCATTTCTTTATTTATGTAGTCGCTTATTTATTTATTTATTTATTTTTAAACTAAACAGTTACATACAAAATTTTGGGCATCTCTGGTCAAATAACATGTTTTACTGATTTCCTAATTGAAAATAAATGAATGTCTTCTACGGAGAACACACATTTTAATGTACAATTGCTGTTTATTTGCTGAATTTGGCATATTAGAAAGAAAACATAAAATGTACCCTGTGCAAAATGTATGGTACATTTTATGTTTTCTTTCTAATATGCCAAATTCAGCAAATAAACAGCAATTGTGCATTAAAATGTGTGTTCTCCGTAGAAGACATTCATTTATTTTCAATTAGGAAATCATTTTTTTCTTTCATATGTAGAGGCTGTGTTAATTCATTTATTAATAAAAGTAATTTTCACTTATAAAATCAACAAAACATATACAACTGTAGATATTTGTAAGAATAGAAGTTTGTACTATGTAGCTAGCCATTCTTATAAGTAAAAACATTGTTCTGTTAATGCTTGATGTATTGTGTATGTGCATTAGTTGTGGAGCAAAAATGAAAGAAAAAAAATCCTGGCTGATCTCTCACTGATGACCAGACATTCTCCTGCAAGATTTTCTGGTAGAGAGCAGAGTGCATGGTTCTGTATATTATTGCAAATTACTCAGGTCCTGAAGCAGCAAGGCACCCTGTTTTACTGTTGGTATGATGTTCTTATTGTGAAATCTTGTGTTAGCCTTATGCCAGATGTAACTTCTCTTTAAAAGTTTCACTTTTGAGTCCTCAAAGTTGAGGTTTGGGGTCAGCAAGATGTCTTTTGGCAAATGTGAGACAAGCCTTTATGTTCTTCTTGGTTAGCAGTGATTTTCGCCTTCTCTCTCCATGGATACCATTTTTGCCCACTATCTTTCTAATGGTGGATTAATACATGCTGGTGTTATCTGAGACAACTGAGGCCTGCAGTTCTTCAGGTGTTTGTCTGGGTTTTTTGTGACGTCCTAGGTGAGTCATCACTCTCGGAGGAATTTTGGTAGGCCATTCACTTCTGTGAGGATTCACCTCTGTTCCAAGTTTTCTATACCTGGAGTTAATTGCTCTTCCAGACTTTTATAATTCTGTAACTTTCTTTCTTATCTCCTCCTGAATTTCTTTTGATTGTGTTATAGCATGCTGCCTATTGAGACCTTTTAGCTTACCTCACACTTCTGGAAAGGTTTTGTGTAAGTGATGCCTAGATTTAACAGGTTTCATATACAAGGTAAGCATTCCTAATAAAATGGCCAGTGAGTGTGGTTTATCCATGTGGAATTGATGTACACCTTCGAATCAAGCAATTCAAAGCATTACTTTTTTCAGTGTATGTAAAAAAAGGCTTTTTGATCAACCATCCCTCAGAGCAGCAGTAATTGGTTCCCTTTGCATGTCACAGAACCCATGGACCAACTATTGTAGATTCATTAAAACCTACAGCAATTTATCTTGGCTTTTCACAAACATCAGAGTTGTGGAGAACTGATGATTAGCAGAAGATCACAGCAGAAATATGTGCTTGATTTTTGCCATTTTTTTTATTTGATATCAAAGAGAAATTATTAAAATAAAAATCATGCAAGAATTACCACTAATCAGAGAGAGAGAGACAGAGAGAGAGTATGTGTGTCTAGATCTTGGAAGGCCTCACTATCGCTAGCGATAACAAAGGAATGTTTTAATTTAATGTACAATTAATTACATATTACTTATAGCTCACTGAATCAAGGGGAGAAGTTCAATGGAAAGTGCAGATTCTAAATTTTCATGCAGTACCACTTTAGTGTTTGTAAGTAGAAAAATAAGGTATTTTATCAGGTGTGGATCCAGGTGATCATTTAGTGGGTTAATGCCCCACAAGCCAATCATTATGCCCACTACACATGCTAATATAATGGCAGATGGCAAAAAAACAAAGTAAAACTAAACTAAGTGTGCCCTGCCTTTGCTTGCCATGCACACCAAATATAAACGGCTACAATAATTAACACAGTAGAATTTGAATGTGTGACTGTATTGGCAGCATAACTGGGATGTGCTGTATATTGTGGAAAGATAGCAGATTTTCTAGGAGATACTAGATGGGTAGACTTTTGGTGTTTTGTGGTAAAGTGTCTCACTCTTGTTTATACAGCTTGTGGAGGCTCTTAAAGAGAAAATGTAGCTTTCCACTTTGTTTTTGCTTTTGTTAGTTTGCTGCTCATTCATTTATCCATAGATCTCTTGCAAACACAGGTGAGCGTAATCTGCAGAAGGAGCTGAAGGTATTGCTTTACAGGCCATTTAAAAGCTGTCTTTGAACAAAGATATGACTCGCAACATAGGTAACACTTTATTTGGGTGGTCCACTGAAGATTTTTTGCAGATGCTCAGTCTATGTTTAACTAACATTTAACTAAATATCTATTAAATGCAACTGAACAAGAAGTGGAACTTGAAAGATTAAACCTGTCCTTATCCCTAAACCTAACCTTAAGGTAAAACCTACACATACTCCTGAACCTAACCCTAATTGTAATGTTGTTAATAATCAATAATCAACCATTCAAATAAAGTTTGACCAGCATTAATAACATGAAGAAAAAATGTGGCATTAATGATTTATCACGTTAACATGTTACATTTATCAGCCCTAATGATTACATTTAAATACTATAGTCCAAATCAGGATAATGTTTGTCCAGCCGTGGAAGCATCTCAATTTATGGCACAATTTACAATAAATTCAAGCATAACAGACAAAATATTGGCAATAACAATAAAATCTAAATCTAAAAGTGTTTGAATCTGTAATGTCATATATACCACATATGGAATGTGTTTTACAAACGTTTTTTTTCACATTTCTAAGCTTTCAAAAGCAGGTAGAACTGGTATAAGTAGTATTTTATGTGTTTGTTGCATGTGTTAAGTGCTATTTTTAGAATTATTTGTAGAATTTGACATAAGGTGACATAACCTATAAGAAGCTAAAGGTTTTAGCTTAGAATGACGATTTTCTCTATACACTATATGACTTTTGCTCATATTTGATGTTCAACTAAGAAAAACTGAAGCTTTATTTGATTCTACACATGACTTTGTGTGAATGTATACATCTGTATGAGTCTGTGTGCAGACCAGTGCAGTGTATCATTTCACAGGGGTAAGCTAACTGGCAAACAAGGCAGCTAATTAGCCAGATTAGATGCTGTTCAGTTATATAAAATGACCAAAAAGACCACTAAATCTTTTTAGACCACATATAAAGACCAATAAATCATTAATTGTGGTCTTGAGCAGGTGGGAAATGAACTAGAACAGTATGTTCAGCTGGTTTAGGCTTGAGTCAATTCTTGTTTTTGAATGTGCAGTGTCTGTCATGACAACTTATGACAGCATATGACATCTGCCATTGCATGTTTATGTCAGTCTTATGTAGCGTGTTTGAAGCAAAGTGTTACCGTTTTGCTTGGATGTGATTATCAGCTGAGAAACAGACCATCCAAGCATTTCCACTCACCCCCTACCGCCAATCGCTTTACACCTCACTGTTTAGATCATTTAAATTCCACATTAATGCTTGTAAACCCCCAGCTCTGCTTCATAAGCTCGCTAGCTCAGAGATATCAGTCTGACATAAGCTCAGCTTTGGGCTACAGATGAGAGAAGAATGCAGAAGCTCAACAGAGACACTGACAAGCACAACATTAGTGAATGAATGTTTGACTGCAGGCAGGATATCCTTTTGTCTGTTTGTAAAGTGATTAAAAAACAAACCAGATGTTTATCACTAATTAGTATCATCATATCGTGACTGGCTGCAATCAAACTTCATATTTCTGGAATGGTAACTTTTTAGGAGAAGGAACATTGTTGATGTATGTTACAGTTAAGATTGTATTGTACTGTAAATAACATAAAAAAGTTGAATCCCTCTTAAATCTAAGCATTACTGAAATAGAACATTTCCAGCAATGTGAAGTAGGCTAAAGTCTCATCAAAGCACACCATGTGGTGATCAAAAGAAATTCCAGAAGAGATGAAAAAGAAAGTTATAAGAAATAAATAAAGAAATATCAGTTTTAATATGAACTGCTTGAAGTAGCACCAAATCCAGGATGAATCTCAAACTAATCCCCAAATATTGTGCTATGTGAGTTTTGAAATTGTAGCTTCTACACCCAAAATAGCACACTATTTGTCTAGTATGGATGTGGCTGAATCCCAAATATATGTGTTAGTTTGTTTGTTAGCTATATTATGCACTGTTTGCCATTATTTTAATTCCTATGTAGCACACTATTATTAGTTAGGGAGCCATTTGAGATTTAGCCCCAGCAACGGAGATGTACAAAGTCATTTCATAGAGGGTCATTGCTGTGATAATTTAGACACCAAACAGCTCTTATAAAGTGAAGGTTATTGCATTGCGCAGTTCTATATTATATGTTCATTATTATATAACAAATAGTTAAAAAATGAAGTGACTTGTTAACTTGATGACTGCAATATACAGTGATGGCCTTCTGAATGTTCTTCACCTCATTCAACAGTCCATGACTGCTTGGCAGCAATCCAGTAAAAAACATCCAGTAAAAATACTTTCTGAAAAATG